TTATTGATAATAAATAATAAATATAATGATATTAATTTTTCTCAAAATTTATTTTTTTGAAATAATAGAATTCCTTTTTGATAACAGACCGTTAGCATAAAAATAAATAATTCGATAAAATTCTTTAAATGAATATTTCTTTGGATATATATGTGTGCGTGCGTACGTGCGGGCGTGCATGCGTGTGTATGTATGATTAGAAACAAGTAGTAGAATAAATAAAAAAACAGATAGTTTTAAGTTAAAATTTCTCGTTATAGTTTTTCTTTAAAAGTAATGTGATACTGATCTATTCTTAAAAGAAAGTAACACTTTCATTCAAACTTTTGAACGGTAGTGTATATGAATATAAATTGAAAATTAAAATCTAATTTTAATTTATAATGATTTATAAATTACATAGTACTTATACGTCACAACTTAAAAACTAAATTAGCGCAGCTAATTAATGAAAAATAATAACAATGAATAATTAATAATATATATTATAATATGCATAGTCAAAATATAATTGTGTCAAATAATATGTGCGCGCGCGTGTTGCGTGCGTGCGTGCGTGCGTGCGTGCGTGCGTGCGTGCGTGCGTGCGTGAGTGCGTGTAACAACAAAAGAAATGTATCTTTTTATATCCTATCTAATAAAATTAATCTTAAATTTGCTTCAATGAGTACAGATAACGTTATGAGTATAAACGAATATATCAATGAATATACATTTTTAGAGGAGTTTTATCAAACGATCATTACATTTTATTACGTTCGTTATAAATGTTTATTCATAATTATTTTCGCTAAAAAGACATGAACTTATCCTATAATTAGAAATGTTAGTAACTCAATTCTAAGCAGACTTGTAAGAACTTATAACCAGTATTCTAATTTTATATATCGTATATATCGTAAGACATAAGATTATTCATAAATATTTACAATTTCTTGTAAATTTTATAGCTATAAATTTTTTAGTAAAAAGCTGTCTGTAAAAATATTATATCAACACTTCAAAATTCTTATAAATCTTACGAGAATATGTTACGAATCTTACAATTTTGTTTAGAATTTAGATCTCGGTCTATAGTAAAGATAGAGTTTTTAGTAGCTATAAATTCACATATGTAATTCTATATAACATGCTTTCTATAATTGCTTATTTTTCTAAAATCTGAATTATTGTGATTATAATATTTTTATATTAAGATCTTCGATTAAAATCCTTTTTAGAATATGCTATTAAAATAATTTATTTACTTTATTTAATTTATTATATTTTTTTATTATATAATCATTTTTATTGTATAAACATCTCCGAAAATATTCTAAAAATTGATCTTGATGTGAAATTTTTGTTTGTTTATTTTATTTATTCATTGTTATATATCTTCCTGATATTTTTGCAATATGTTATCAGTTTTCTTATATTTACACGAAAAAGCTTTAATAAAATAATTTTTCTTAAATTATGATAACGTATTAGATAACTTTTTTACTTTTTTTCCATACTCTTTTTTTCAGAGAATATATAAAATTAAAATTTTATAATTAAATGAGCTATTAATGTTTTTATTTATAATGTAAAGAAAGAAAATTAATATAATATTTATAATTTAATGATAAATTACAAATATATTGTGAACTTTTTATTATATATAAAATATTTATTTTAGTTCTTTATTTTAGTACGTTTTCTGTCAAGGAAACGCGATAATATATTGAAATTTTAGTCTAATGAATGGAGCTCCTTTTTGGAAAGCTCTGCTTATTAGAAAAGCAAATAACGTAAATCTTTTATAAAGTTTTATATAACTAACCATGTTTTATATAACTAATCTAATATTATTAGTAATTTTAATGTGACATTGTGTGATGTGATATTAATATGAAATATTACAAATGCCTCAAACATTTATAAGACGAAGGAGATACTTTATTTTATGACTAAATGCTTATAGTAATGTTGTAATTAGTAACGAGATTAGTAGTAGTCGATTAGTATTGCTGAGAATGAACTTACGTGTATATATGAAGGACGAAACAAACTCGATGTAAAATGAAGAACAGTTGATGCAAGCACGTTAAGATATAAATGAGCAGCACATGCGTAGTTAAAGAAGTTCAGTTTTTTTTATTCTTGCGCGTCACAAAGAATGTGACAACATACTTTACGTGATAAGAATACGGTACCCAATCAATCCCTCGTGTTTTTACAAATAGTAGGTAGTATTTGGAAGATAATTTAATTACTGTGTCATTTCTTATCACATAAGATATGTTACCTGAATATAAGAATCATTTACAATTTACAGAAATATAATCTAAAGAAGAAAGGAAAATGTATATGATATGAATAGAAGAAACGTAATGAACATTAATAGAAATGAAATGAATTTGTAAATCATGAGAAAAAATTCGAAATAATCGACTTAATTATAATCTGATATTATATATTTTGCAAAATTTTGATAGTTTGTAGTTTTGATTTGATTGATGAACAGAAAAGAACTTTTAATTACCGATATTTGAATCTCTGCTGTTAAATTCATAATGTGCAATTAATTTGTTTTATTTTTTATCAGCATTATTTCTACAACTGGTTACTACTCATATTTTGTAGGTCTCTAATTTAATTAAAACAATGCAGTTAATCAACAAGGAATTGATTTAAATTTAGTTTATTATTCATTAATTCTAAGTATGCTTGCATATGCATGCATTAATATGTTTACTTTGATCGAAAAAAAATAATTTAATCACAGGATTTAATTTACACAGGATTGATTTATTTTGATATTAAGATCTTTTTAATAAACGCCTATTGAGTATCACAAATTTAATTATTATTTTAGTAGTTTAATATTCTGTGTTTTTAAGTCGGAAAAATTAATTCGGCGTGCAATTTAAATTACTACAAATATATACATATATGGATGTATACATATAGCATATAAATTAATGTTGTATTATTTAAGCATTAAAGATTCAAATTTCGACCGTTATGGACCTTTATTTCCTATTTCCTATTGGTTGTGTTTTCACATGTACACGGAAAAAACGACTACAACCAAAAGTCGCCTGTTAATATATTTTTTAATTAAGAAATACGATTGTGATAACCATAAGATATTCATAAACTTAACGATTATAGTTATAAACATGTCCATCTTATCATAATCAAATGCCGAAGGTACGATAACTTTCAAGTCTTATAACTCAAAAAAAGTACTTAATGAAAAAATATTTTGTTGTAGTGTTTTAAAAAGCTTTCGAGATAAGCTAAGAATATGCAATAAAAAATGGATGTTTTCATTAAAAAAAATTAATGTTTCCTCGATCTGATTTTGGCGACGCCACTCAAGGTCAAACTGATAAGATCAGTAAATAGATCTTTTTAAATCTTACAACTTTTGTCAGAACATTTTTTCCGATTGGATCTTATCCCGCGAAGATATAAGAATAGTACAGGTGGTCTGAAATACGCAGTATAACATATTCTCTCTGTATTTATATACAATATGTATATTATACATATATATATTATACATTTTTTTTTAGTGGAATC